CAAAGCAATGAGCGTGAAGCAAGAAGCGCTAGATGAGATTTACGCGCACTTTGACGAGTTCCACAAGACTACCGTGTGGCAAGAAGAGTGTCGTAGCTGGTTCAAGAATGGGTCGACAAAAGGCAGAATCTACCTGTGGCCAGGTGCTGTAAGTTACTCCCGTTTGACCCATGATCGTCCGTCCCATCACCTTGCTAGCGTTTCCTTCTCCTGTATTACCCCCGCACTATTCCTTCAGCCACTAACGCACGGGACGCAGACGATTCACTTTCTCAAAACGATCAAGAATCCGCGCTGGGAAGACTACGACTACGTATACAGATACAAGAATCGATTTGCGTTCTTGGGAAATGGGGATGTCAAGGCGACAGCAACACGTGACTTGCATGGGCTCAGCCCATACATCAGGAACTGGGACCATGAATGGGATGTGGATTGAGGGGAGACTTGGTGTGTAGTTTTTGATGGAACAGCACAAGGTTGGATAGGCGCAGCGTTCTTTTTCATCTACTTGTACAGAGCGGAATGTGTCACTAAGATGTTTGGAAAGATGTACACAATAGCTGTTTGCTTTCTTCTTCATCTTCTGGTCCGATCGACGGGGCATTGTGCAGCTCTTCCATCGAACTTGATCGACCTATGCAAGACAAAACTACCGATACGGGGTTCTATCCGGCGTCGTCTGGCTCGAGGGATAGTGCGCATGACAGCTTGCTTGAGAAGTCGCATACAGTAGGTGCGGATGCTGACACCCTAGCCTCCACATTGACATGGCAATGATTACCAGTTCCAAGATTCCGCCACACCCATTACCAATCCACCCCCTCACCCCGACGCATCTCGAGTCAGCCTGAACCCTCAGCTCCCTCCAACACGACTCGCAGATTCTGGGGTACCATGAGGGATGCACCTCGCTACGAGTGTCGTGAGCTGTCATTGGAAGAGTTATGGAGACAGGACCGCATCAAGCCTTTACGTACGTAGCTGAATGCGCGTCACACCCCAAAGTCCCTGTGACTCCTGCTCCGGAATGCCTGCACCACGTCTCCACGGCACATCTCTGGCATTGGCTACGGCGACTGCATGCATGTTCTGCTCATTGCCGGTCAATGACTATGTTGAGAAACAACTTCCAACTAACCTTCTCCTCACAAGCAGATCCTCCGCGCCCGGAAAGCTCAGGCTCATCTTGCTCTCCGTTCGTTGCACCAAGCGTTCGGATCGATACGGGCGTACTGAGCCATGACCAAACTTGGCTAGTAGCATATCACTTTAGGGCAAGCATGGCACTCCTTATCGCGGACACCGTCTGGAGCGAGTCGACGAGAGCTGCCTGGTAGAATGGAATTGCGGGGCCCCACCTCCAAGGCGCGGACGCATGCTGCTCCCCCAGCATTTGGCGGGAAAGTTTTCGGTCTAGTCTTAGCCCAGTCGCTCAATACAGGCCGAAGTTTGGATTTAGTGTGGAGCGTTGCCATCGTGGTGGGTCTTGCAGTCTCTCCCCAAGACATTCGTCGCACTATACGTGGCACTCCTTCTTCCTCTTACACACTGATCTGCAGCGTCCAATGCGCCAGAGACCAAAATTGGCTTTGAAGAAAGTAATGGCTGGCGAGAACAAAACATCAAGTACGCCCAAAGTGACTAAGCAACAATCGGGATCACAAGAACCCAAGTCTAGGAAAGACAACAAGGTCGATCAGAACGTGCCCGAGAAGACATCTTCGAAAGAGAAGTCTTCAAAACCCCGTCACCGAGCATCTATCGCCTGTGCTTCGTGCCGAGACCGCAGGATTCGTGTATGGTCACTGCCTTTTTATACAAACTTTTCTGACAAGTTGCCAGTGTGTGGTACCTCCGGGAGAGAAAGAGTGCACACAGTGTAAACGATCAGGTGTAAAGTGCGTTATCAAGAATGACGATGAGCGAAGAAGGTGGGTCGACAGTATCAAATGTTAGCGAAGCGGCTAACAAACATGTAGGCCCATCTCGAGAGCATATATGTGCTCTCTTACCGACCGCGTCGCTCTTCTTGAAGCCATGCTGAAGGACCGAGGCGAGGAAATACCTCCAGCAAACCATCCACCCAAAACACGACATAGTGCTCCGAACATTGAGGAAGAAGCTACCTCGCCAAGTCGAAAAGTTACTGAGCACACGACTGCACACATCGATAACTCTAGCCCTGTTAGCCAGGAAAGTCCTCAGGAAGACTACCCAGAATTTGAGCAACAAGACTTCGGTCTCAGCCCCTACATCTCAAATGGAGACGCAGACAGTGTGGGTTCGCCGCCTATGCTACCTCCGCCAAAAAAGGACGGCATGGTCAACCGACTTTTGTCTACACGCGGCCATCTCTCATTTGACCAACTCAATGGGCGTCTTCGATACTTTGGCCCGACAACAAACTGCCACGTGCACTCCGAGTCCGTCAACCCATTGAACATCGCTCAAGAATTCAATGAGCAAGCCCGGCGAGCGGATAGAATTATACGTTCTCTCCCACTGGAAATATATGACTATCTCATGAATCTGTTTTGGCAATTCTACAATCCCGTCCTTCATGTGCTTCACCAAGATGCTTTCAATGAGGACCGCGAGATGGGCCGCACGCAGTTTTACTCTGGGTTCTTGCACGTCTGTGTTTTGGCTATGGGATTTCGTTTTGCTAACAAGGAGAGACCGGATATCAAGAGGATTAGTATGCCTGGCATGGAGAGTACGTTGCACCGCGAGGCCAAGTACATGCTCGACCAGGAGCTCGAAAGGCCAGGCGGAATACCCAGTGTGATTGCACTGCTACTACTGGGAGATTTGGAGTGCGGTGTTGGCAGGGACAACAGTGGGTGGATGTATGCTGGCATGGCTGTGAGACTTGCATTCGACATTGGGTATGTCTTGTAAATGTTGTGAGGGACCTAGACATATTACTGACTTTGATTTAGTCTCCACCTCGATACACGTTCTCTTGGCCTCCCTCCTCGAGAGATTGAGATTCGACAGATGACTCTCTGGGCCTGCGTGATCTACGACAAGTACTGGGCACTCTTCCTCGGTCGTCCAACATCCATGAAGTCTGCAGATCTAGAAATCTATCATCTCACCAAGAAATTCGAGCGTCTCGGCACTTGTCGACCTGCTGGTCCTGAGAAGAGTATGGAAACTATGATCTACGAAGCCCTTCTCGACCTCATGGAGCTCGCTGGCAAAATAACGGAAAACATGGATCCCCATCGTTCTCAAACCGCCATGTCGGATCCACACACTGCGATAGATCGAAATCAGTACATACGCATGGCAGCACTAGATCGCGAGTTTAGCAGCTGGTATGCTAGATTGCCCGAGCAGCTTCTATGGACGCCAAACAACATCGCAACAGCACCCGTTAGTTTCTTCTTGCTGCATCAGCAATATCACTCCAGTCTGATCTTACTGCATCGCCCTTTCGCGCTCTATGAGGACCAAGCAGGCAACGAAAACGAGCCAGACGACCATTTCTCAACGTTGAGTAGGACGGTATGCACAAAACATGCAATCAGAGTAGCAAGGATATATTGGCAGCATCGACAGCGATTCGACACGAAGCAAATCTTCATCACTGGAATGCAACACGCCGTACGTATCCATATAACTCAATACTATAAAAGACAAACACTGACCAAAACTCTAGGGCACCGCAGCAACCGCTCTCGTCGCAGCCCTAGCCTTCATCAAAGACCCCGTCTCCCGCGCAAACAATATGCAATACCTCGAATGCCTCGCTGCCGCTCTCTCCGACATGGCCTATACCTACCAACCTGCCGAACGCATGTCCACCGTCCTCCGCGCCGTAATGATCGAACTGCGCGGCGGCCTAGACCCCCTCTCCACGACATCCTTCTCCATCTACAAGCCGCCATCAAGCCTTGTCCCTGCCCGCAGAAGCAGCACCATCGACACCGACGCCGACATACCCTCAACCAGTCAGCCCTGGCATAAGAAACGCCAGATGAGCTCAAGCAGCACATCGCGTCCCTGTACCAACACCTCCAGAACCCGTCATAAACGCACAATGAGTTCCAGCACAACAGCAACTACTCCACCGCTCCACCCTTCCTTATCCCTTCAAGCCGCCCCACCACCACCACCACCACCACCACCTCCCCGCTTCGACGACCACCTCTCAGACAATTACATCTTAATCCCGCCTTGTTCCTTAGACCCCCCACCCTGGTGCCCCGATCTCTCGCATACCCTCTCCACACCCTCCACCACCGCAACATCTTCTTCATCACTCTTATCACAACCCAGGCACACGGGCTGGATCCGCTCAGAATACGAAGCGCAAGATGCCATTTCGGCGCTCGCTAGTGCGCATTTTCCCGAGCTGAACGCGTTTGAAGAGTCGGGTGCTGGCGGCGGTGGTACTGGTGGAGGTGAAGGGAGGATGAATTTGGATTTTATGCCACTTGGGGAGGAGTGGGAGGGAGGCATGGAAGTAGGGAGTGATCTGAATGGGTTTCCGATTCAGGGGAAGGCGTTTTGAATGTGTTGCAGGATAGAGAAAAAAGGAATGTGATTACGGGTTTTATATACTTTGGGCTGGGTAGATAGATTTGGATGGTGATGTTTTGGAGGCTAGCGTCATGCAGGCGTTGGTATTGTACGTGATATTTCTCCCATGCAGCCTCGCTCGCGTTGATATCCATGCTCTCATCTGGGACACTCCGGATTCAATTTTTTCACCATATTGAATTTATGCATCGAGTGTGCGTGTCTAGTTTCTCCTTGTTTCCCATAAGACGCATACCTGATATCCCCGATAGTGCTAGATCGCGATGTACTATACTAGCTAGTCAAAGCCGTAGCACCGGATCGGTAGCCTGTACGAGGGGGAGGGTTTCGTATCTGCATGATATAAGGGCGCAGATGAGATAGCCGATGGGGTGAGCGTAGTGAGATGATGGTGCTCAGAATACAAAGGCATTGCCTTTTCAGTATTCCAACCTTTGCGAGAAAGGGGGGGGGGAGGGGGAGAAGGGTATCGCGCCCGGTGCTTGAGGATAGAATGGGCGAATCATTTTGTAGTGATAAGTGTGATGTGCTGTAATCGTCTTCAGTGGCTCCGGGGGTAGCCTAGTGGGATCTGCATATGAGACTAGAGCTGTGTAACGTTCTTGCTGCGTGTGATGGTTGGCTGATGGTGTAGCGCATTGTGTGAGTGATTTACTGCTTTGCCTATTGTCCTGATTGTGGTCTTGATTTCGACATGTTACTGTGCTCTCATTGCTGAGTTCCATGCTCTTCTGAGTGATCCGTCGATGAACTAGGTGTACCCCAGTTTATGGGAGTAAAATTCTCTTGGGATGGTGTTCGTAGATCATACGTCTCTAGCAACTGCATGCCAGTGTTACCCATGACGTTTTCGATCCCAGCCCAGTATTGTGATACCCCGTTTTTCTCAGCTCCGTACCCAGCTGTGTGGTTTCCTTGCCGATCGTGGCTTTGAGAATTGCCTTGTGGCGATTGTGCAACGAGGTCGTGCAGCGTTTGGGGGGCCCGACTAATCTTTTCAACTGCAATCCGCGCGAGCGTTTGCACGCTGGTTTCCTCGAGTTCTTTGAATATCGATAAAGTCCGCTCGGCTTTCAAGACGCCATCAGTGACTTGCTGGCGTTCTATAGCATCGAAAAAGAGGAGCATGCAACTATTGAAAGCTTGTTTGGTATACTGAGTGCACGAAATCGCTCTTTGAGCTGGATATTCTCGACACGAAGTTTACCGAGTTCATAACTTTGCTGAATTGGGGTGTAATTGCCTTCTTCAGTTATGAAGTGGCAGTCACGGGGAAGACCACGAACACAACATGCTGAATATGGTTTTGTGCGGTCACACTATCATCTGTCAGCTAGTCAAAGAACAGGGTCATTTGAGCTGATTGTGCTATGCGTATCTAGTATATTGCAGAGGGGTCTTTGAGCAGTTTCAGTGTCGGCTGACCTTCAACTTCCGTTCCCGACACTTTGTACAAGAAAGGGGCTGGTGTTGCAATCATGGCAGTTGCTTTTTCCGCGTGACAATGGTCTCACGTGAAGTTTGGTGTTGGAGACCATGGTCTTGCTCGAATGATACATCGTCCATAACGTAAGAGATAGGTTCGTGTTCGCTGTTGTGGGAATGTTCAAAGACAAGGAAAGAGAAGTAATTTCGATGCAGTCAAAAACTGGTTCGCCTCGGGCGTACGGGTAGCTTTAGGAGAGAGGAGTATGAGATGAATTTGTACAGGCCAATCGCGGTCCTTCAACAAGTCACTGTTGTCGGATATCTACCGTCCTAATGTGCCTCCAGAAATCCACCCAAGGCTCAATGCTATGTTCATTGAACGAAAATCATTAGCTTCACTTATTTGTTGGCAGATAGAAACAGTTGCAGTATAGAGGTATTACCAATGAAGAGAGTAACCTTCAACCAACACTTCAATGTCTAAATCAACTGTATTCCATTGTGCATACGCCGCTGATGTATGGCGTCGTGGCGGCGTCGTACAATGATATAGCCAAACCGATAGAAGTACCATCGGAGCACTGATGGCGGTGAAAAGCGCTCACGACCCGGACCTTTGGGTCTCGCGCTCAAACCTGTCCACGCACATGTACGTGGCCCGCCAACTGGGCTTTCTACACAGGTGCCACCACAGCGCCACAATCTTGACACAATCGCATCACCTCCCACACTGGGTCTATATCTGGCATTGCATATGTGGCTTGCATAGAAGTGTGCGGGTGGTTGCTAGAACCTGGGTGTGGAAGACTGTTAACCCCTTCTCGTGACTTTGCAAATTTCCGCTGCAGGTCGTCATGACATGGTCCGCTCATATGACTACTGGAATACGTGAGGCTGATCCATTTGACATTTAGCAGAATGTTGAGGGTGCACGCTCCGAAGCGTCGCACTAAAGCGCCTCCTTTGCAACGAGAGACCAAGATCATTGGCGACTCAAATCGCCGGAAAGCACATTGCGGAAGCTAGTAAAGGGGCTTTGGAGCATCCTTCTTTTCATTCACCTCCCTCAAGCCATAGTACCTGTGTTCAAGCAACAGCGCTGTCGTTGCGGTGCACGAGACGAATTGGCTTCACGAAGACGATTCTAGCGAAGACATCTACCATTTCCAACTTCACCTCCCACTCGTCGCCCACCTCGACATCCTCATACTGTAACATGGTAGCCACAAAGCCATATTCAGGCAACTGACCAATTGCATCTCTGCCCTCTCGAACTTGTCGAACCTGAAATTTGAAAATCTCGGGAAGAGGTGCTTCTTTGTACTTGAAAGCGCGGAGGAATGCCTGAGAAGCCCAATAGAGTGTTGCGTCTCGCTTGGCTATTGAGATGATGCGCTCTCGAGGCGTCAGTGTGACAATCGATTCCTGTATCTGCCGGAGAGAGAAGGGCAGCACGTTTTGTGATGAAGCAGCACTGTCAAGCGCGTTGAACCTTTTGCCGGTCCGCGCTTCATAGCGCACAGCAGCTTCTATCTGCCAATGCGCAATCATGTCACTGAAACGACGAAGGGGGCTGGTGACCTTGACATAGCCGGGCACTCCGATAATCTTGTGTGGTAATGAAGAAGAATGTGTGATGGCCCTACCCAAAGCGCGAACCAACTGTATACCGAGAAGCTCGGGTACATCTCCATGCTTCTTGTGGTGCTCATTTATGACGCCTCTAAGTTCTTCTGCAGACAAGTTTTCGTGAGATGGAGGTTCGACGGTGCCTCTGTACATGACAGGTATTTGCCGCTCCGCGCACCATTTTGCTGCTGACTGACCAGCCAACATCATCACCTCCTCGACTATGTTCTTGGGCCCAATAGCTAAGGGCAAAAATTCTTTGGGCGTGGTGTTCTTGTAGTCAATAATAGGGTCTCCTTGGATATGGCGTGCTCGACTGATTGAAGGCGGATACCAGGTCAAACCAGGCTTAGTGGCGCTTTCATAGACCTGGACGCTCACGTTGTTCGAATTGAATCGGATGCCACCAGCAGCTCTACGACTCTCCCATAGCGCCTTTGCAGCAGTATACAGGTCATGGAGCTCCTCTAGTTGATTGGGTGATAGGCTTGGAAGTGGCCGTTCCTCACTCTGGGGTACTTCCCCACCAACAGTGAATTGTTGGCTGCTCAGAGTATTCTCATCGCCCAAAAGCTTAGCAAGCTCAGAGGGGGTGAGGCTGATTATGTTTCGAATAATGCCGTGCTGAATCTTTGTCTCGAGCACAGTGCCGAACTTGTTGATACGAGAGCTGAACGTAATGGCAGGGCGATCGCGGTCAAGACTGAAATGTTCTTGGGATGCCCAAGTCGGAAGCATGGGATAAGATCGCTCCGGCGTGTACACTGTTTCTGTAATATGGGCAGCAAGACCGGAAAGTGTGTGGGTTTTGTCAAAGAATGCCGTTGGATTGGCCACATGGACATGAACCCAGAATTCATTGTCTTCCTTACCGGATCCCTCGACTCGCTCGATAGAAATACCATCATCGATTTCCTTAGCACCCACATCATCGACGCAGTAGACTGTCGTTGTGCCCCAGTCACGACGTAAGTCTGCCATTGAATCACGGAAGTCGGGATTCCTTCGCGTAAGCTCCGCCTTGTCTTTAAGCACTTCGATGTTGCGTGACAACCGAACGGTGGGAAGCATCAATTGCTCGTCGTAGAGCGCGCGGTTTTCGTGGGGCGAAATTACACCAATCTCTTGTAAGAACAGCAATCCAGTGGCACGTCTAATGTTGCTCAGACTTTCATCGACAATTCCCTTATCGCGAACTACCCCTGGTTCGTAGCAATTCGTGGCAGATATCAGGCCGATACAAGCGGCGTGAAGGCCTGCCATGCCTGCAAACTGATCGCTGAGTGCCCATGATTGCAAAAAATTGATGATTTGCTGGTCAGCACTCGTGAAAGATTCACCCCACGTAACCTTCATAGCAGACTTGAGCTCTTTGGGTGCAGTACTTGGTCCTACACCACCATGTTCTGGCTGACGGTATTTCCTGCTAGTTGCAATGACCCTGCGTGCTTTATCGAGGAACTCCTTGACATAAGTCGTGCCCTTGGTAGGCGGCTGCTTGCTATCATGTGACGTGCTTACAGTCAAAGCCAGATACTCTCGGTATTCTCGAATCCATTCATGCACAGTTTCAACAGTTTGGACGTCTACTTTTGGTCGAATAGCAAAGACATTGGTCAGTCTATGGCTGCGAGAGTCGGATCGAAAACGGAACTCATTGTGATTGAGTGCTTTGCGTACAGCTAGTAGTGCAGGCGGTGAGGGTGTCCAATTTGGATCATTGGGTGAGAGTAGTTTCCTGGCGATTTGTGTCAATGTCATCATACGAGTCCTCTTTTCGTCAGCCAAGACTGTATAGGCTGTGTCAAGTGTTGGTGCATTTGTGCGGTAAATGTGCTCTGCTTCTTGGGTCATATGTTCCAGAGCGGCTATGACCGGAGAGGCCAGGTCTCTAGGAACATGGACTTCACCTTTAGGGTTGGCTTTTGTCGGATCTGTAGGCAGGAATGGGACAAGCGGCTGAACGAGCGAAGGGTCGATGCAGCCTTGTATAGCGAAAGTGACTTTTTTGAGAGTTGAATGTGTCCATCTGCCGTTGACTGAGAAGAGCTGGCTACTAGTGTCCAGTTGTTGGACAAAGACAGCAAGCACTGGCTCACGGCCAGCCTGAGAAAGTTCAACCACATCACCAGGTTTCAAGAACAGGCCGATAGTTATGAGATCGTCCTCTTCGTCTTCCTCTGCACCGTCCCATTCGCTTGTCTTTGTATCCTCGTCGGCCTTTGAAGAAGAAGCTAATTTGGAAAGGCCATTCGAGACTTCATCGCGCATAGGGTAGTTTCGAAATGCGGAAAGTGTTTCTGGTGTCGGTCCTCCATAGAGATCTTGCCACTTTATGAGATGGTCTCGAATGGCAGTATTTTGGGGACGAGGTAGCAGGGAAGGGTCTAGATTTTGCGGAGAGGTTTCGGATGTGGAAGGCAGTTGTGAGCGCTATTCCTGGTCAGAATATGATTTTTTCTTTTATGGAAGTGAAGGCATGGCTACATACAGTGGCAGTGACATGCAACGCCCGCCGAGGCGTTTGCGCAACTTTTATAGCAGAGATTCCTCGATGGGTTTTTGGTTGAGCAAAATGCCCTGATTTATTGATGAGACGCCATTGGCACCGTAAGCAAACGCTGCCAACCGTCGACTGCATACGAGGATACATGGCGAGTCGAGTGTGAATCATGTCGTCAGGCGCCGCTGCCAAAAAATGCGGCGGAGGCGCGCTCTCCATTAAAGGCCAGTGCACCGACGCTAAATCGGCGCGCGAACTCACATGTTTGTCCCGCACTCGCCGTCTTCTCTTCTTCACACCCAACACACAATAGGTATGTATCCTCTCTTTCTCCTCCAGCACACCCTCTCTATGATGTATCAAAAATTATAGCATGTATTATCCGACCGTTGCTTTGGCGGCGGACTGCGGAACACTTTTATTCCTGATAGAAACTCTTGCTTTGATGCGTGCTTGATAAGCTATTACAATAGGGTCCTGACACGTTGAATAGGCATCATGGCACCTGGCAAAGCGCCCGCGGGCCACTTCTCGATCCTCTACTTTGCCGCTGCTTCAACGTTTACGGGCAAGACGAGCGAACACCTGCCTGCGCCAGTCAAGGCGGGCGGCCTGTTTGCTCTGCTCGAGGACAGGTATCCCGGCATGAAGGACAAAGTGCTGAGCAGCTGTGCGTTGACGGTCAACCTGGAGTATATACATGTCAACGAGGAAGATGCAGAGCAGCAGATTGACGAGGGCGATGAAGTGGCCATTATCCCGCCAGTCAGCTCAGGATGAAGGAATGAAAGAAGGGAGCTTTTAATGCATGATGACTGTACGAATTGCTGCGTGTTTGCAGCCTAGTAGCTAGTAGCTAGTAGCTGAATGATGACGACTGCCGTATTCTTTTTCCATGTTCCTTCTTCTTACTCATCTCGACACTCTCACTCTGTCCTGTATGACATTACATACCATCTCTCACTGAATTTTGGTTCGTCTGTAAGACTAGCCCGTTGTAGACTAGCGTTTCCGGTGTGGCACTCCAACTCCAGCCTTTTCCGCGGCGCAATCGACCGCGGAAGTTCGGGTACTATACGACCACCGACGCCGACCTTCATCCATACGTCTACGGCACTGCAGTCTCATGGCAGACCAGAGCCAGATAGATCCCAGGCTCTTTGCCAGCGCCTCATCGGTGCCCCCGCGCTCTCAGCAGCTCTACTCGTCTGCACCCCAGCAGAACTCCGGACATCCGTATTACCTGCCCTCGCCCACCGCTCAACACCATCCCCAGTCCCAGCAGCTGTCGCAATCCGCCCCACTCGGCAGCATACTTGATCCCGCCCTCGAGCAGACGTCACCAACCGCACCAGATGCAGACCACCATGATGACGACCACGAAGACGAAGGCGACCACGATGGGTATGTTACCGAAGCCATTTCCCACCTGCCGCGACAATGCAGCGCAGCGCCACTTCAGCGGCATCACCACTTTCTCGGGCACAGCTCTCTGCACATCTAATGACGCGCTCAAAGCTGTCCGCAGACTGCCAGCGTCCGCTTTGCGTTTGCCGTGAAGACGCGCACGTCATCGGGCGCTGCAGAGCGACAAATACCAGCACAACACCTCACGCATTGACCCCACGCTGACCGCTTCAACAGTATTAACGATACCCCGGGGTCTGCAAAATCCCCCGCCGACCTGAAGCGCCCCAGGGCTTGCGATTCGTGTCGAGGACTCAAAGTGCGGTGCGACCAAGAACGACCAGACCTACCATGCAGACGATGCGCAAAAGCAGGCCGGCCATGCATCACTACGCCGCCAACACGCAAGCGCCAGAAAAAGGCAGACAGTCGCGTAGCCGAGCTCGAACGTAAGATCGACGCGTTGACAGCGACTCTGCATGCGCAAAAGGCCGGAGCACCTGACGTTAGGCACCAGGGAGGCTTTCCGCAGCACGGCATGGCACCCATGCCTGCAGAGGGTTCCTATCGCATGGGAAACCTCGAACAAGATTGGTCTAATCCACCAACGGGTAGATATCCAGATATTCCTCCCGGCTACAGTCCAGCCCAGAGCATACAGCGAGGACCCGATCGAAAGCGCAGGAGGGTGGACGGTATACACGCTGTGAGTACATTGACATGCACATGCCTTGCCAGTACAAGCTAACATGGTAGTCAATCCCGGAGGATATGGATGCTATTCATCGTGATCTTACAGAGCACCCCGATATCAAGCGTCCGGCCAAGAGCAAGATCCATACTGACCATTGCCACATCAACCCTCTGATTGACAATCTTATGGCTCCCGAAATTGCAGAGCGCGTCTTTCTTCGCTACGTCAACGAGATTTGCCCTCATTTTCCAGCAGTGCCCTTTCCTCCCGGCACTACAGCCCGCGAGGTCCGCGAGAAGAAGCCGCTTTTGTTTCTTTCCATTTTGGCCGGCTCTTCACATGGAAGTGTAGAGCAACTTGTCTCGCAAGACACTCAACGCGAGTTGACCAAGCTCCTCAAGGACCAACTTGCCGACATCATCTGGCGCAACGGAGAAAAGTCACTCGAGATTGTCCAAGCATTGCACGCAGCCGTGCTCTGGTACCGGCCACCCCTCCACTTTGAACAGCACAATTTTTACATGATGGTAAATTGCGCAGCTGTCATGGCTCTTGACTTGGGCCTAGGAAGAAAGGCGACGCCCAATGTTATGAAACTTTCGGTTGGTCCATTCCAGAGGTACCATCCCGACTCTGGGAGTATTGAGGCCAGAAGAACATTTCTTGTGTGTTACTATCTCTGCATGAGCATCACCATGGTTTTGCGACGACCGATCCTCCTTCGTTGGACCAACTACATGGCCGAGAGTGTCCGCATCCTCGAAACTTCTCCTGAAGCTCTTCCGTCAGACAAGCTGCTCTGCCAGCAGGTTAAGCTGGCGCACATTGGAGAAAAGATTTCGGTCGAGTTCCGCATGGACGACGCTTCAGTCGAAGTTGCCATTTCGGATCCCAAAGTCATCTACGCCTTGAAGATATTCGAGAACGAGCTTAATGGGCTGAAAGAGGAGAATGACAGTCTCGGTGACGTTGATCGTAAGTTGCAGGTAATCCACCGCCACATGGTTGCTAATTGTTTTTAGCCACTCTACGGCTTGGGGAGCATGTCACAGATCTCTATCTACATGAAATTGCTCTCCATCAGAATCAAGGCTCTGCGGATTTGCAACCCCCGTACACCTCGGATGCCATTTCTTCGCCGCCGGCCTCCGGAGCTAAGAAGGATGCACCTGTTGGTCCAGCCCATATTGGCGCTCTCGGAGACTGCCTTAAGGCCACGCATGGCATCCTTGATACGATACTGGGCATCGAGCTTGACACTCTTCTGACTTTGCCTGTGATCTTTTGTAAGTCGTCATCGCTTTTCCCAAGGCATATTGCTAATCAGAGCAGGCGTGCGAGCTATATACGCAATCGTTTGTTTAATGAAAATGTGGGTGTCAGTCACAAGTTGCGGTGAAGTGGGAAGCATCATCAAGAAAGAGGACCTACAAATTGAAGCCTACACCGAACAGTTGGTTTCCATGTTCAACGCCATCGTCTCCCGCGATAGTCAGTCTCCGCATGGTAAATTCTACTTTGTCGCCAAACGCCTTCAAGAACGATTTGCACATATCAAAGCAGGGGCCGACAAAGAACAACCTCCAGATGCCGAATACGAATCAAGGCAAAACTCGAGCCATGCGCCTAAGCCGTCTACCCGCCAATCGCCTGCGAAACAAACTCCGCTTCACCTCCTGTCTGAAGTTGCAATGGGCAGCAACAATGTCACCCAGCAGCAACAGCAGACGCAAGCGCAGTCTCGGTCTCAGCAGCAGGCTCAAGCAGCTTTGCAAGCTCATGCACAGCATTCACAGCAAGCCATGCAGTCAAACTGGTATCCCAACATGGCTGCACAGCCTACAGCAGATATGATAGGTCTTGGCGGACAGCCTCCTTTCGATATGAACTTTGACTTTACGCAATTCGACTTAGGCACTGGTTCAGACGCGGACTTGTCTGCCTTGTTCATTCCGGATTCAATGGCAATGTGGAGTTATCCGATCGATCCAAACATGCAGGGATACACTGGATTCTAGGTAGGTTGGCGAAAAGTGGTGGCTGATGGTTGCATATGTTTATGTATTATGTGAGTGTACAAACAATATGGCGTAACAACTGTTGTTTCTTCTTTCCGACCAACAACAACTGGAGTTTGGCGCTCGGGAACAAAGCTTGACGTGCTTGATAGGTGAAAACGGAGGGGGAGTATATGAAGACACCGACGGCTTTTCAGAGCAAATCTCGAACGAAGGGAGAACAAGACTGGCATTATTAAAGATTGAGAATTATTTAACACGCTGATATATCTCCCTAAGGCCTCCAGTACCTCTCACTCAAGCTTATACTCTATCCTCCTCAAGAACTCCTCCAACCCCGTCACCTCGCCCTTAACCTGCGCCCTCGCCCACGCAACCTCGTCCTCCTCTCCCTCCCCAAAATACCCATAATCCCTAAACAGCACATTCATCTCATACAACTGCTCCCTAATCCCCTCGTGCAACCGCCCTTTCATAACCTCATCCCCCACCTGCACATGCCTCACTTCCTTGCCCGTAACCTTTGCCACAATCCGCGCAACCTGTTGGGGTGTATAAAACGCCTCGGCTGCCATCAACGTCCTACCCGCAAACCTATCCGGATCCTCAAAAACAGCTCCGATCCATTTTCCCACCTCGGTAATATCAATATACGGTACTTTTGTGTCGGAAGGAAGTATGCTGGGCATTTCGTACACGCCCTTTTCCCTTTCTCCCTCGCCGGTTGCCAACCGCGGCCTCGTCACACCAGTTAGATTCTGCATAAAACTCGCCGGCGCCACAAACGCACTCCGCAGCGGTAGTCTGCGAATATACAATTCGCACTCGGCCTTGACGTCGAAGTGGTCCACGTTCCTGAGTTTACCAAAAGACAGGGAGAGCGGGTGCGACATGGAGCTAAACACTATATATTGCACCCCCGCGGCGAGGGCGGCGGCGCAGACGGTTTTGACTTGTTGGATTTCGGTGGCGCGGGTTTGGCTGTAGTTGGGGGTGGTGAGGGTCGCGAGGTAGAGGTGCGATACACCTGCTAGCGCGGAGGTGAGGGAGGATGGGACGGACATGTCGGCGTAAGCCGTGTCGACGCCTTGGGTGGAGAGGGGGAGGAGCGAGGGGTGCGAGGGGTTGCGGGCCAGAGCGCGGATGGTGTACTTGCTGGAGAGGGAAGGGGAGGAGAGGATATGCATGGCAAGAGAGAGGCCTTGGGTGCTTGTTGCAGGGAGGATGGCGAGGATGTTTTTGGACATTTTTTTTTCTCGGTCGAGTCTTGATTTGTTTGACGGTTGGAACGGAAGTGTAGAGTGTTGACGCTGGGACATGAAGACTCCTTACTCAGTCCTTATGTATATTTATATAAATATAGGGAAAGGGCTTGTATGGAGCTCAATGGAAAACGCACACCGGATTTATCAAGATACTAGTTCCATACCAACCCTCAATTAACCTATCCAGCTGTAGATTGAACCAGTACCGTCTCGTCGAATGTGCAGTAAAATTGCAACTCGGACATCCTCATCTTCTCCGAGCTACATACTCGGCTCCGAGCTTAGATGTTCTGTCTGGCGTTTACGGTATCTCCGTTTAGTAGGCTGCTTAACGCCGGGTGTATGACGTTTATGATTCCTTCCTTCTAGTGTTTTTACTTTTCAGTAGTAGCTAGAAGGAAATGAGTATAGTAGCCTGACGCTTTGATTTTATTTTTGGTCGAGGGTGGAAGAGGTGAGTTGTTTTGTTGTTATATTTGTAGATGTTGACAAGTGTGAGAGGTATGTACGGAGTTCATCTTTTCCCCATCCATCTCCGATATCCTACAAGCGACGGCTAAGCAACTCTCTTCCATGTCGTCTGTGCTATCCACTTGGATACTTCGTCGAGTCAGTATTTTGCTTTTACTGCTCCCCAGACTAGCCTTGGTGCCGGACTTCGCCATCTTCTCAAGCCCTTTCCCTGGCCGACCTTGGACGAATCCAAGATATCTCAATCTCATATTATCCATTCAACCAACTTCCCAGCACTCACCCCTCAAACTCCCTCCCACCCCCAACATCCCCCTCATTCTCAACCCCATACGCATCCTCAAAACTCGCAAGCTGAACCCCCCACATATCCCCTTCCCTCCCCCTCCCCCCACCCTCTCCTTCCTCCTCATTCTCATCCTCTTCACCCTCCCAATTCCCATCCCCCACCCACCGAAACGCCAGTACAGCCCCATCCTTCAGCCCCGCACCTTTAGGACACTGTTTCGCACTCGCCGCCCCCTTCCCCCCAGGCGCCACAGCTTTCGCTTTACCTTTACCCTTCCCCTCTACCTCCTCTGCATCATCAATAGAATTGTATTCCCACTCCCCAAGCTTAAAGCCCTCATGCGCATCGTTGATGTTGACCGGGCGGCCGAGCTGGATATCTGAGGGCGAGGGGGGCAGAGGGATTGCGGCACCGGTGTCTGGGTGGCGGAATTCGGTTTGCTGGAGTGCATCATATAAGGCGGCTTTTATGGTGTCGAAGGTGTGTAGGGGGTCGATGTGGAGGAGGACTGTTGTTTTGTGGGATTTTAGGCGGAGGGTCCAGGTTTGGGGGGTTGGTGTGGTCATTTTTGTGTGTGGTGAGCGAATTGGATGCAAGGGAAGAATGATAAGCGAGAGATTGGGCGTGTGTGGAAGATTGGGATATCTGGTTTGTCGCGGGGGGTGGTAAAGGTAAGATTGTAGGGTTGTTGGAGGGGTTACGCGGGGAACAAAGGGAGACGCGTAACACGATGTCATGCGGCAACTGTCTTGGCAATTTTCGAATTCACGGGCTTTGCGCAGAGCTGGCCTTCACTCATCAACGTACTTGCATTGAGCGGCCAATTCTGGACTCAATCAAGTCACCCATCGCTACATCGAATTGCAAAGCAAACACAGTCGTACTCCTAAAGATCTCCGTCTCGCGACCCACACACAATCGCACCGCCCATCACCTCCGCACCACCTCCGCATTCACCGCAAACCTCACCACCACTAGAGTCGCAAACTTAACACCCACCTCCCACGCCCACCCAGGCACCACAAGACTACACACCACACAATGGCCTCTCTAGCCCCCGAACCCGACTCAACAACCCCACCACCTCATAAAAACCCCTACCCCACCTCCCCCCGCCTCGACATGCCCTTCGACCGCCGCCTCCTCCTAACCACCACCCTCTCCTTCCTCTCAGGCTTCACCCTGGGCTCCTTATCCGCAGGCCACATGGCCTCACTCCGTTTCCGCGCCGAAAACGCGCACCGTCTCCCGACTTCAAATCCAGGCTGGTACCTCTACCACAAATCCAAAAACTACTACAAGTGGCGGTACGGGATTGTCGAAGGGCTCAGAAAGGGCACGTATATCGCCGCATGGAGTATGGTGTTTTTCGTAGTGGAAGAGAGCCTGGATGTTTTTCGGGGCACGTGGAGGGCGGGACGCACGATGGAGGAGATGGAGGGCGTGGATGAGTTGGATTTGAAGAAGATTGAGAGGGGGGTGAGTGGGAGTAGGGATTTCGTTAGTAGTGCGCTTGCGGGGATGGTGACGGGGGGTGTGTGGAGTGCGTGGCATCAGTTTCCGGTTTCGACGGCTGCGAGGACGATTCGGTTGGGGTTGTTGGTTGGGTTGGGGTTTGGGTTGGGACAAGATGGACTGGTTTGGGCAAAGGCGAGGTGGGGCGGGGGAAGGGAGAGTGAGAGCTGGATTTACAGGGGCGCGAGGAATAGGAGGGTTGAGGAGGAGGTTAGGATGAGTGTGGAGAAGGATTGAGAGAACTTGGAGGGCTGGATGTCGCATATACTGGAGTTGATGCCGCGCAAGAGGAGCTCACGATGCACACGAAAGCAAAGGACACTGCGCAGGGCAAGTCGGAAATGAATGCAGAGCCACAAGTCTGGAATGACTACCGCCTAGCAAAGTATTCCCAGTATCAAGGCGGTACTGATTTTACGAAACAACGAGACCAAGTCAAAGTGTACAGGATAGTCTAGTTCTTCATTTTAGAGCGCTTGGCGCCTCTTTTGGATATCATTTCCATGGCAGACTGAAAGCACAGCTCCGTAGCGTAGGCTACGTCCGTGTCCTATCGTAACAAATCAAGCAAAAGGTCCATCTTGCCCATGTCTACTCCTTGTCGAAGCGCACAGCCGGCTGTTCCCGAATCCAGCTCAAGTCGACCTTGTGACCCAACAACTCTCTGATATTACTGACACCATACTTCATCATGGTCGGCCTCTCAAGCGAAAGTCCAAATCCGTACACACGCATATCCTTGGGCAGGCCCATGGGTTCCAACATCTCAGGCCTGAACATGCCCGAGTTACCAATCTCGAGCCACTTCTTCAGACCAGCATGGTAGCCGAAGACCTCCATGGAAGGCTCGGTGTAAGGGTTGTAGGCGGGCTTGAAGCGCAGGTTGGTAATGCCCATGTTGCCGAAGAAGTCCTCAAGGAAACGCTGGAGGCCACCAAGAGTGAGGCCAAAGTCGGCAATGACACCTTCAATCTGGTGGAACTCGGCCAAGTGAGTAGCATCGACAGTTTCGTTACGGAAGACACGATCGATGGAGAAGTAGCGCGCAGGACGGGGATCTTCTGCAAGGCGGTGGAGGGCCCAAGTCGAGACTGCGGTGGTATGTGTGCGGAGGACAAGGCGAAGGGATTCATCTTCTTCCCATGGGTATCGGTCTGAAATTGTCAGTATGCAGATTCCGGGGTTATGAACTTAGGAACGTCCGACTTACATCCTATCGAGCCAAAAGCACCTTCTTGATGTACCTTCTTGACGTCTTGCCAGTACTGCTCAAAGTCTCGTGGCTTCTTTTCTCGCTTCTCGCTCTCTGGTGTGGAGAAGAGACGTTTTGATCCGGCCTCCATGCGTTCCATAGTTGCTTCATTTGCAGGGTCTAATCGCGGCTTGTCGGCTTTTGGTGGATATGAGACGAAGAAAGTGTCTTGCATGTCACGCGCGGGATGTTGCTGTGGTACGAAAAGGGCGTCAAAGTTCCAGAAGCCTGTATCGACGAAGCTAGTAATGTCAGTCGGTTGTGCGCTTAAATCAGACCCAAAAACTTACTGTCCTGTTGGCATCTCGACGAAACCTTGTGAGAAGAAAATGTTGCGGAACTCCTGTCTGACCTTGTTCAGAGGATGTAATGCGCCCGCATCTTGGTTTGCTCCGAGCGCAGCAAAGTTGTATGGTTTGAAGTTTGCAGTCTTCCACGCGTCGTTTGTAAGCAGCTCGGCCGTCAGGTCGGTGTGTTCTACGGGAATCTCCTTTGCATACTTTGGGCCCTTTGTGATGGTGTATGTAATGACCTTGGTAACAGTCACGAGCTTCTTCTTCTTCAGCTGGGCAAGGAGTTTCGCGTCATCGAGCGACTGCGTGTCCTTGATGCCTTGCAGTAATTGGCGGGTGGTGTCTGCGGGCTCGTCGGTCTGGATGAGGACTAGGTTGTCTCCGTCTTTTTTGATCCACTTGTTCTTGAAGCCATTGCCCTGTCCAACGCTAGCGACTTCTTTTCCAAAGATGGTCTGTGTCTCTTGTCAATCGCGTGTCGCTAGTTCATAGTGCATCCTGCACGTACCGGTAGTTCAGCAATTGGGACGCTGCCCCTCTCTTTGACCAACTTCCAAACCTTGAACTCGTGGCTTCCCTCTGCGACTATGCCCTCGGATTCGGGAGTGAGGACGACCTTTTCCGAGTCTAGCGATTTATATTCGACCATGGATCTGCTGGCTAGCCTGTCGAGTGCGGCCTTGATTTCAGCCTGGGAGATTGCGGGGAAGTCTTCATCTGTGCGGAGGGGCTCTTTTGTGTCGAGAAGGTCGAGGATGTCCTGAGTGAGGTTTTGGCCTTTTGTTTCGAGCGGCACTGGGACTGGGCCCCGTGTTCCTGGCATGTTTGCGAGTGTGCAGCGGTTTGGTATTGGGGTCGAGTCGAGTCGTATAACGTGGGGTTACTTGCGATGAGTCGAAAGTGGAAACAAGTCGGAGATTTGAAGGCCCGTTCGGAGGTGGGGCGACTCTGATTGGCTCACTGGCGGCGCGCAGTAGTACTCTGACTTGATATGGAGAGAGTCACTCGTGTAAGCATCAAACATGGACTATTGTGCACGTGATTCATAGTGGCGACCTGGTCACTTTTTTAGACTAATATTGTTGATAGCTAGCTCTCCAGCGACTGCCAAGTTGAGCTGCGTGATGTTCCCGAATCTGCAGTGCTAGATAGGAAGCTCCGACATGTGGCTGGTGGAGAGCAGACTGGAGGACTGGCTGCAGGCATGAAACTTGACCATGCTGAAAAGATCCAAAGACACTAGATTGTACCTTTGTTTTTCAATGACAACATGGAAGTGTCGTAGTAGTAAGTGTACCCCGCCTTGTGTGAAGATGGGATAATATGGTTGTCAATAGCGTTGCAGTAGACGGACTGCAGGAGGAAGAGGAGGAGGAGGAGGTGGTGGTGGTACCATGCAGCCGGCTAGCTGTGACGCCTCGCGTGTTTGAGGTTTTGAGTGTAGAGCAACAAGGCCAATTGGGCTTCAGATCCCCACCAGTTCCTATGGAAACTGGGACCCAGTCGAACATGCACGCGCAAGCGGCCGCGCAACTCTGCGGCGCATGGGCATGCATATCAAACAGCTGGGCATACTCTAGAGTAAGTGCATGTTGTTGTTGTTGTTGTTGCTGTTGCAAGCATCTGAGGAAGTTGTCATCCGTCTTTGCGCAACACATGTTTGTAGAGTGAGAACATGCATACTATGTAAGTGCTGATAGTGTCTATGATTAGTGTTTTATTGGCTTCGAGGGTACCATGGATGGCCAAGGATCGGGCATGGAGGCTATGTAGAAGAATTATTGACATGGCATGCGGCTCAGCTCAAAACAGCAGGCGGAAGCAGGTTGATTGCGAAACTCGGTATAGTGTATTGAGGCCAGGGGGACATTGTAGGCAGATGTGATTGCGACGGCGTCGGCGCTTTGAACAGGCAAATGGCCGCGGGATGCTGGCTTGGCTTCAGGCGACGGGCTTATGCGGTGTTTTGCTAAGGGCATGTCGGGGCGTGGGTGGGGATGGTAAGCTTGGTAGGAAACAAGGCTGGCTGGCGCTCCTTCGTTGTTGGAAACGGCGGGCAGAGGCTTGAGCGAGCATGGGCAATTCTCAGACGGGGCCCCACCCCTGGCCATGCCTAACGTCATGTCACGTTGTGTGGACAGCATCAGACAGTCATGCAGCAAGCAAAGAAGTATTGGAAGGGCGGGGGTATGTCGGAAGGGGGCCGGAGCTGGGCCAAGGTGAAGGTATTACATATGTATGCCTGAGGTCGGCAGACAACAGCTTCTGGCACACGATGCGACGGTAGCGTCACCAGCCTTCCTGCGGGCTGCGAGGGCAATAGTTGTTAGATGCAGTAATTCCACGCCAAAGGGACAGCTTATTTTCAGTCGGCTTGGCTCTCTCTTGGCCCGATACTCTCCCAGCAGAGTCCAAGTAGCTAACGGGCGCTGCAGCGAGGGATTATTTTTAGGCCGTGCTGTGGTGAGCGGAGCGGCGGTGCGGAAAGGCGAGGTGGCGGTAGTGAACGCGCGGCCCAGGGGGAGACGCCAAGGGCAAGGCCAGCATGGAGACGGGTGCCCTTGCTGTGTTGCACTGCACGCCCACGCCCACGCCCACACCCACACCCATGCCTACGCCGACCCGCCCACCACGGCTCTCTCATCCACCATGCACATGCGCCGTCGTCGATAAAGCGCCGATCCTGCAGTTGTGTGCGGCACGACGTCACCCTGCGAGGGGGAAAAAATTGCTTCCCCATGCCCTTGCTGGACTGGGTCGGGGCGACGTTGTTGAGCCGGGAAGAGCACTGGCGGTTGCGCAACGAGCTGAGCCCATGCCGCTTCGAGATTTATGCAGCGCCCACTACAGTGCTCTGATAGCTGGGCGCTGTGTGATTTGCGGCGGCCTGGATCCTGCCAATGGCCCAACACCACCACCACCAGATTGCAAGGGGGAGGTGATGAGGAGGAGGAGGGGGAGAAGAAGCAGCAATAGCTACAGCTACAACAAGACGAACAGCTGCTACTTACTGTATATACTATATATGGATGTATGAGCAATCATTCGTGTCATCAGCATCCACAAGGCGGCGGCGGGCTTTGCATTTGGACGGCCTCGCGTTCCGCCGGCGCACTAGCCGATCTTTTCGCCGCTCCAGAATTCGGTGCAAGGCAGGTGCAGTGCAGGTGCTTGCCCCTTGCGAACTAGCGTACTAGCCTCCGCAAGCAACAAGGGAAAGGGAAAAGGGTCGCTCCTGCTCTGCTCTCCTCAGCCCGCTGTCTCTCCTCCAACGCCTCCAGAGCGCTGCAAGTCCTCCAGTCTCTGCCTCCCAGCAATAGCTAGGACAGTCACTCGTTTCACTCTCCGCTGCCGTCTCTGCTGCACCACATCTCCTCCCCCCATTCCCTCTGCCTGCTGCTCGCCCGGCCGAGTATCTGTCCGATTCGTAGTTGCAGCATCCAGGAGCAACAACACCAACACCACTACCACTGCCAGCCGCCACCTCCTTCCGGACTGCATCGCCTCGCCTCAGATGCGATAGGCATCTTCACGCGCTCCACAGCACTTTCACACATCGATCCTTCGCAATGGCGTCGCGATTCAACCCAGGCAAGCTCTTTATCCGAACGCGCTTCAACTACGAAAAGCTCCCCGGCCAGGACAGCCAGGGCTCCTCTCCCCTGCCCCTCTTCAGCACAAAGTCATGGGGCAAGAAGTATAGCCAGCCCGCCTGGGCCAGCCGCATTCAGCGGCCCCGTCTGTCTTTTGCGCGTCTCATTACCCTCGCCGTCACTGTAATACTCGTCTTCTCCATGATTGGCACTGGCGTCTACCGAAGACACCGCTGGCACGCTCAGCCTCACAAGGGCGACGAACGCAAGCAATATCATTGGGAACATTATCCTCGGTAAGCATCGCCGTCTTCCTAATCCTCTAGCTGCCTGCTGACCTCTTAGCCTTAATGGCTTCTTCAACGGCGTTCGCACTCTCGTCCCCTTTGGCGACTGGGTGTCCGAACAGGACTATGTCAAGTACTCGCAAAGCCCAAATCCCGAGGACAATGTCAAGCCAAAGTGGCCACACATGTCCAAGGAAAACAAGGAGCCGCCAATGGACCCTGTACCGTTTGACCCTTACAAGTTCGACTCGCCCCAGTACCTCAAGGATCACGACGAGGTCAAGACGTGCTACCTCGACGAGGAGGAGAAGGTCGACCTGCCCGACATCTACGCCTACCCCGGTATTCCCCAGAACATGACTGCTCCCTTCTTTGGCTCCTACGAGGAAATCGGTTTCGACGACAAGAAGTGCTTTGATCGCTTCGGCCGCTTCGGCCCCTACGGCTACTCCTACTCTCGCGACGAGGGCGGTCTTGAAATGGACGGCAAGTCTGAGAAGGCTGGTGCCGACAAGATCTGGAGCTGGGAGAAGAAGGTTGACTACCGCAAGGTCAACTGGGCTTCTGCCATGAAGCGCTGCCGCGAAAAGAATGCTCACCGCTTCAAGAACAACAAGACAGACGAGTCTGCACCCGCAAAGAAGAAGGTGCCTCGCCACGCTTACGTTCTCCGCACCTGGACCGGCTACAAGTACAGCGACTACCAGATCCTCACCCTGCGAGCCATGATCAACGAACTTGCCCTCAAGTCTGGAGGCGAGTACGATGTTCACTTCCTGCTCCACGTCAAGGACGACAGCCTGCCCATTTGGTCGTCTGAGGAGATTTACCAAAAGGTCATCGAGGACAACCTGCCCAAGGAGTTCTGGGGCATGGCAACCCTGTGGTCTGAGCAGCAAATGCGCATGTACTACCCTGAGCCATTCCCAAACAACGTTTACAACCACGCTAAAGCTCCCGTCCACTCTGTCTACCGAAGTGCCCACTTTGCTATGCAGTGGTTCGCCCAAGCCCGCCCAGAGTACGACTTTTACTGGAACTGGGAAATGGATCTCCGCCTCAGTGGTCACTACTACGAGTTCCACAACAAGATTGGCGAGTGGGCCAAGAAGCAGCCTCGCAAGGGCCTGTGGGAACGCTCGTCTCGCTACTACATTCCCGAGCTCCACGGATCATGGAAGAACTTCACCGAGATGGTCGAAGAGGAGCTCTACAACAGCGACGAGAAGCCAGTTTGGGGTCCTCCCAAGTTCCCCAACACTGGTATGCTTCCCAGCCCTCCAGAGGTTGAGCCGCCCCACTCCTATTCCCAGGACAACTACGAGTGGGGTGTTGGTGAAGAAGCCGACATCATCACTTTCAACCCCATCTTCGACCCTGCCAAGACCAACTGGGTGTTCCGCGACGACGTTACCGGCTACGATCTCGAGCTTCCAGAACCTCCGCGACGCTGCGCCATCATCACCGTCTCGCGTCTGTCGAAGCGCCTCTTGGACCTCATGCACCGCGAAACATACCTGATGAAGCACCACATGTTCCCCGAAATGTGGCCGCCGACCGTTGCCTTCCACCACGGACTCAAGGCTGTCTATGCTGCACACCCCGTGTACTTTGACCACAACTGGCCCCTCGAGATTCTCGAGGGAACCTTCAACCGACCCCCGAAGCCCACTGACAGTGTCTTTGGCTGGGGTGAGCACAACCAATTGGGCAACAGCTTCTACTACAACGCTGCCTTCTCGTCCGAGTGGTGGCGAAGGTGGCTCGGCTCGCGCGAAAACGACAAGGGCGGTGCGGCCGAGGAAGAGGCTGGCACAGGTCGGTTGTGTATGCGCAACACGCTCTTCCACCCCGTCAAATACGAAAAAGGGTCTGAGTGACTTCGCTTGCTTCGCAAATATACCCCTTTAATCGCTGGCTGTTGCGGACTCGCTGTTTGTCGACTGGTTGTTCGGCTCCGCAAACGCGCCTGTTTATAGATTCTTGTTTACCTTTGGGTTCTGCATCGTCCAACGTTCACCATTGTGGCGTCTTACCATCGGGCGGCGTAATCAGGCGTTTTTTCATCTCCCTTTTTTTCCTTCATTTTCTATTTCTCTCTCTTTCCCCAGGAATATTTGATTGTACGCACAGTTTCCTTGGTCTCTCCGGCACCGCACACGAGCTCCGGAGTGTGTTATCTTCTCAGCGTATACCTTTTATTTGACACGAAAAGTCGCGGGAAGTGTAATCAGCCGACGAACCCGGCGTCCGCTCATTTGGCCAGCGTTTCGGGTTGGGCTACAAAAGAAGCCTGTTTTGGATTGTGGAACGGGGAGGGCAGTGGGGGATTTGGGAGTTTATTTGTCCGACGTTCAGTATGTTGATATGTGTAGATGATGGGAAACTTGTACTCGGGCTCTTTTATTCCTACGGCGAACCCCACCCGAGGCTGGTCTCTGAACTGTGGTTGTACATTTATGAAAATGCAATACAAATAATCACATAATGTCCGAAGTAAATGACTTGTTTGGTTCCTAATTGTTTTGTATGTACTTTGATCTATGCATATTTCCATGTGTTTATGTGTAGCGAGTGGTACATATCGCGGCAGTACATATGTAACATGATTGTGCCACACGACGAGCTCAGGGTTTGGGTGCAAGTCATCCGATGGTCCGAAGCGGATGTGCTTGTCCGATTGGCGCCGTCAGATTCATGATGTGCTTGTCTGGATCGCTACATGCTGGATGTCCCCACTTCATTGTGGGATCTTTGCGCCTCCTCAGGTCCTTGAGGATTCCTTCGATGTCATAAGTATATGTACATTCTCGGCTGGACATCCACTTACGTCTCTGTGAGGTGTTGGCTTGTCGTCAGGGGTGAGGGCCAGCACGTGCTCGTCCTACGCAAAAGCCTCCAACACTCGGGGTTGCAAGGTGGATCACGCATTGCAGCCACGCCTTGATCACCCTCAACTGACACGCGGCTGTCCCCGCACGTTGCTACCAGCGTTGTTCTTTTCTGTACTAAATAAGCATTGGCGGGTTCTCCGACGGCGCCAGCTCCCAAGGCTTGACCACCGCTTGACCATGAAGAGTAAAGGTGAGCCGGGAATAGACGGGGGTGACGACGCCTAGGCGCATCCTCGATCTGCGCGCCGTGTGTACATGAGGAGATATGCACGCTCAACATGTGAGCACGCGATAACCTTCCCTCGACTCTTCCTTTGTCATTGTTTCTTTTTATCGGACGGATACCCTTGCCGTAAGCCACAGGCTTAGTCGTCCATGGTGCTTTCCGCTCTCTTGTTCGCACCGTAGTAGCATCCGACATTCCCAACATTCTTATCCAGCCATCCATCCATAGGACAATGCGCCTCATACAAACCAGTCCGCAGTCACCATGAGACTCCCGCTCGAGACTCTTCTCCTAATTGTGCACCTCATCTATGTCACAACCGCCGTACCCGTACCCGTGCCCGTTGCACGCCGCAGCACATCGTTTCGCGCCCTCCGTGGCTTGACGCCACTGGTCAACTCCTTCTCCAACGGCCACACGTACAAACACGCACCTACAAAGTACTTTTACGAATCCACGTTCAATTCGCACTACGATGGGCGCTTTGCCTCTGCCGAGCTTCCTTTCCGGGAACGAGTATGGAATCTGCGGTTGATGCTCAAAACATATACCGAGACAATGGATCAGATCGGAATCCAAACATGGATCATGCACGGGTGTCTGCTCGGGTGGTGGTGGAACGGCGGACTAATGCCATGGGACAAAGACCTCGACTTCATCGTTGAAGAAGAAGGCATGCAAGAGCTGGGCGAATGGTGGAACATGACCGTCCACCACTTCCCCGCTGCCTCGCTCGGTCTCGACGACGCCCGCTCCGCCGAAAGCGACCACTGGGCCAGTGAGCGCTACGCCGCACAAGACGACGAGTCCGACCCCGAAGACGACGACGCCCGCTCCAAGCGCCTGGCTTGGGAACAAGAAGTGCGTGAAAACGGCAAGAAATACCTGCTAGAAGTCAACCCAAACTACACCAACAAATCCACGTCAGACAAGCACAACCTCATCGACGCCCGCTGGATCGACACTTCAAACGGGCTCTACATCGACATTACTACCTTACACATCGCCCCCCTTTCCTCCGCCCAAGAAGACGAATTTAACGACAACGACCCTTTCTCCCTCACCCCCTCCTTCGCCATCCACCCCTCAGCCCACGAACCCGACCCTTACGCCGATGAAATTCAACTCTACGTCAAAGACACACACGCCTATCTCTCCTCGCAAATCTATCCCTTGCGCACTTCGCACTTGGAAAAAGTACCAATCAAGGTACCGTACGCGTACGAAGAAGTGTTACTAGAAGAGTATGGCGCTGAGGCGTTGACGGAGAGTTGGTATAATGGGTATGCGTTTGAGACGGAAAGGGGACAGTGGGTGGAGAGAAATCCGACGATGGAGGAGGCGAGGTATTTTAGGGAGAAGTCAGGGAAGACGACGGGGAGGAGTGCGGGGACGGGAAGGATTGGGCATGGGTGGAGGGGCGAGGGGAGTTTGGGGAGTGTGGAGGGGGGCGCCGGGGGTACGTAGAATGAGGATGAGGGTGAGGGTGAGGGTGGTTGAACAAAAAAAAAGAGCTTGTTGTACATATGGAGAAGAAGGAATTAGATATATGGATATGCAGATATATATATATATGGGGTTTTCTGGGTAGACATTTACGAGACAAGCAAAGCAAGCGGCATGGAGGGTTTTAAAACAAAGTTTGTTCTTTAGCGGAAAAAAAGGCTTCGAAAAAAGTCCATCTCTGGGATTTAGAGATTAGGGACATGGGTGAAAATAAAACCTTTTTCTTTTTGGCATTCAGATCTTTGCATGTTGTCCACGCCATTGTGCACTATATATGCCCCCACCACCCAAAAAAATGACAAGTGAAATAAAGCAAATGAGATGCGTCCAAAAAAAAAGAAAACGCCATCGCCATGCTAGATGCCAAGTAGATCCCCAAACTTTTCAACCTAAATAAATTCCCCAGACAACAAAGATATGTTTTCAAAGGGACAACAAACCGCCGCTCTTCTACATCCTCCGTCCTCTATCCTCCTCCCCCCACCCATTCACTTCAACACCCTCATACCCACTCCCCTCCCCAGCACTCCCCCCGGAAGCCCGTGGAATAAGACTCTCCCTCGCCCCGCTCGCCTCTTCCTCAACACTTTGCCTCTTAATCCCGCGACTCTTCTTACCCACATAACCCACCAGGGCAATTCCTACCAGCAGCGCCAAACTAAGCAGCATAACATTAACAGGGACAGGATCGTTGTGAAAGACTTTATGCGTAGCAGCGTCGAGGCCAGATTGGGAGAAATTGAGGAGACCAGCAAGACAAATGATGAGGCCGTAGACTTTGCCAAAGGTAGCGAAGCCAAAGACTTTTGCCGAGTAATCACTTTTTAGGGGGGAAATTGCCATTAGCTTCCCACTTTCTTCAATTTGTGTAAAAAAAATTGCTTTCGGGGAAGGAGGGGGAGGAGGAACTTACGAAACAGCAGTATAATACAGTGGCCTGTACAAAACAAAGAGAACAACGTTAGCATACGCCGCCCATGTCTGCGCAATAACACCCAACACGCCAATTGTAGTCGCAATCGTAACCAGCAAGGCCAGCGTAAACACCGTGCTCGTATTATCCAACAATAACCCGATAAACGGGACGGATAGCACGCCGCCGACGGGTAGGGCGACGTCGAAGAAGTCGTTGATAGCGACGGCTTTTGGGTAGGAATGGAAGAGGTAGGTGTATTGCGAGCGGATGGTGGCGACGAAGTAGTTTATGCGCGTCATTTGGAGGACGGTGAAGAGGGTGATGAGGATGAACCACGGGGTGCGGATTTGCTGGGAAGCAGTTAGGCCGTGCAGAGCGCCCCATACACCCGAGATGTTCTTCTTCTTTTCCTCTGCCTTAGCTTGGTCAAGTCCGTTCTTGGTGCCGAGTAGCGATGTGATTTCGCTGACGATGCTGTCGCGGTGAGCGCGGCGGGCGTCGCGGAGCGACTGGACGGTTGCGGCGTCTTCAATTTCGTCGTCCGAGTCGTGGATGACGTTTGTTTCGTCGGCGGTGGTGACGAGTTCGCCGACGGTTTTGTACGAGACCGAGGGCATGAAGAGGAGTTGGACGAGGAAAATGAAGGCAGGGACGATGAGGTAGAGGAGGAAGAAGGACTTTATGGAGAAGGAGCCGTGCGTGCCTTGATAGATGAGGCGGTAGATGAGGAAGACGGCGCTCGAAGTGTCGAAGGCGCCGGTTAGCAGGGCGAGAATGAGGCCGGAGTACTGTGGGAATGTGTTGCTGAGTTGGAAGGATGAGATGAAGGTGAAGGGCCCACCCAGGGCTAAAAACAGGTATCCGGGGATATATGCGTCAAAGGGAAGCTCTGCGGCAAAGGCAAAGAGCAAGGCGCCGACTGTAATGGATATCGCACCCGTTATACCGCAAACTCGTGGTCCATAGCGATCCAGAATCGTGCCAACAGGCAGCGCAACAACGTTCGTCGACACTGCTGCGATCGTGAACATGAGATTGAGCCTGAGCTCCTGCTCATAGCATACACGAACATCGTTATCCAGCTCTTCCTTGCTACAGTAATCTCTGTACACTCCTTCTTCGAGCAACACGGGCTTGATGGCTGCATACCCGAACACGACGCCTGCAGCAAAGAGGCAGTACACGACGGCGAAAAATACTTGTACTACATGAGGCGTTAGCTTTCAGTATGTACCACGGCGCGCGCGTCCCTGCATGTCGACGTACATAATCTTTTCCATTGCGGCACTTCGAACGCGCCGATGGTGGGCTCTTCGCCTGCTTGGTCTGTCCATGTGCCAACGGGGTTGAAGCTCATTTTGCGGTGCCGTGAGTCGGGGCTGGCTTCTCGACTCCATGGATCATGCTCCTCTATTGAGGTTACGCGTTGGGAGAGCGACATAGTGGTGGTGGTGCGATTTTATTCTCTCTCTCTCTTGATAAAACACCGTGTAGCTTCTCTTCTTTGTTTCTCCCAGTGTCTTCCAGTTACGCGTTCCGCAAATCGCAGTTTTTTTTTCGTAGCTGGCACGGAACAAGATCCCGAGAGTTTGTGAGCGACTATGTAGGAATGACGTTTGCGGCACCACCCCCAGTCCCCTTGAGCCCTGAAACTTTAACCGTGGAAAGCAAAAACAAAAATAAATCGGGCCAACCGCAGCAGGTTTCGGGACCAAAGACCCTTTCAATTGGATCAGATAAAGATGGAAGGAGAAAAAAGCAAATCTCCTCTAACACGCAAAGTTCCCCAAAAGTTAGACGGAGAATCAGGGTTCTATATACGCAAGCAACACAGACCGAATGCAGAAAGCGGGGGATGCGGAGCGATATGCAGCCGGCAGTACGCGCGCTGTCATTGTCCTGGGCGTTGTGTCGCGCGTGACCATATTTCGTGGTGCTTTCACACGGATCGCCCATTATGCAGTATAGCCACGTGCTACTAAGCCCGTCTTGTATGTAAAGTGATGCGTTCATCATACATTTGATCATTACTTATTCTTCAGCTCGAGGGTTCGTATGTACCTTGAATGATACGTATTGATTGTGGTAATGATAGAGGTTCCACAGAGGATGGAGAGCTTCATCACAACCCTTGTTGCTAAAGCTGCGAATAGCCAATGGCGGCGCGAGTCTGCCGCGGACAAGGGGAGCTTTGGTAACCATGCAGGACGGAATGGCGTCAAATTTTGCACTTCTTCACCATCGCTGGACGCCGATGCGCGATGGACTTGGCCATCGGATAACTGCCGAGATAACGGTGATTGCATTTCTCGCGACGGCGAGTGTGCAGAGATTTTTTCATTGAGTTGTGAAGGAACGTTCTAGATGCTTTGGATGTCTTGTTTGGGAAATCGTTCTTGCGAAGATTTCATGGTTCACTCCAGGTCTTGCTTGTGTGTGAGCTTTCAGCAGTCTTGGTCTCAGGATGCCAATTGAGTTGAAGAATTCGGAAGAACGCTATGAAAATGAACATAGTTAGTGATCTATCTAGAGGCTTTAACAAGTTGATTGACCTTATTTGCATGTGTACGATTATACTTATTTACAAGACATGGTATGTTATGAAGCAATTTAATTAACAAAGATTAAATGTGAAAAAAAAACCACACAAACAGTTGAAGACGGAGAAATATTTTTATTTATTTCATTCTCTTCGTATTTAATATCATCTCAACTATTGGATACACAATACCAGCCGCATACCAAAGCATCATTCAACATTCAAGTCAGCAAAGCCCGTGTTTCGAAAAAGAAAGTGAAAGAATACACCTTCATCTCTTCGTCTTCTCATCCATGCGTACTCATCAGGGATATATATGCAGGTATCAACTTGTAAAAGTAAACAGAAAAAGAAGAGCGACCTTTGAAAAGAGGCGCCCGAAAAAAAAGTGTTAAAAAAGTAGAAGAAAAAAACCAGAAAGAGGTATACCCGTATTCCTAAGAGTCCCGGTCAGCACTTCCTCGCCTAAAACACCAGGTCATGTACATTCAGTGCATGCTCCCATCCAGCCATCTCTTTCCCTAACAACAACCCGAAGAAGAAAAAAACGCCTACAAAACAGCAATGCTAGCGTACGCAATCAAAGATATACATGATTACCCTCCCTTCCTCTTGTACCATGCCAAATCCACCTACTCATCGCGGTAAAACTTCTTAAAAATCAAATGCAGGAACAAATTGACATTGACCCGCGCAATGCCCTCACCACCTCCCTTGCCAGCCTCGCCACCAAAGAGATTCATAAACTGGTGATTGTCGAATTGAGCTTGTAGCAGGCCATCAAGCGGCACTTCTGCAAACGCACCAGGGATCATCATGGACCCTTGCGAACCCTGAATCTCAAAGATACCCGTTTGGTTGCTGGAAATGGTAATGTCGAGACGGTCCCATTGGCGTTCGTGGTAGCCTGACCAGGAAATGAGAATACCCTTTTCGGCAAGGTTGCGCGCAGAGTACTTGAATGACCCAAAGCGGTACTCGCGACCGCTGTTCTTGAGTTCACGCTGGTGGTTGTATTGGCGGGTGAAAGGCAATAAGAACTTCTTCTTGCCCTTCTTGGATTGCAGCGTAATCATGGCTTGTTCAATGTAGTCGTTGTACGACTTTAATTGAGATTCCAGGAAGTGTGCCTTCTCGTCGAGTGCAGCCAGGGTAGTGCGTACACCTTCCAGTTCCTTGGCGCGTTGAATACGTCTTCGGTGCTTGGTGCGAATGTCGACTGCAATGGCGTTAAGGAGATCCTGGTAGTTGTTGGTGTGGGAGATGCGGCCTGCGCGTTGAAGTTGCACCATGTTCTCCAGGCAGTATTGTTTGAGTGTGGTGTAGTCGAGATCCAGCACAGAGTTTGCGCTCATATCTGTCGTGTAAGTAGAAGCAGCCGAAGAGCGTACCACATTATTTTGTCGTCGCGAGCGGTCTTTCCGTTGAGCAATAATTTCTTCACTAACAAGAGCATCCCATCGGTCCTCGTCCTCAGGTGTGACAGGCTTGCACATGATCTCTGTGAGGTTGGCGCCAGTTTGAACGCGAATGATATAGAGGACATATCGCTTCGTTTCCATGAAGAGAGATTTGATTGCAGATTCGGGATCTAGATTGATTAGCAAGCATCTTCGCATCAGGTCTGGGATTATTACCTTCTTGTTCATGATATTTGGGGTTAAGAGTGAGAGTAATTTCACTAGCGCTGACATGCAACAATTCATTCTCGTTGTTCTTCGCGCTACCGAGTTCACGGACAACCTCGCGAAGTGGGTCGTCTTGCGCAGGGCAGAGATTTGGAAGGTCGTCAATGACGAGATTGTGAATGGCAAACACGTCGGCGAGCTTAATGTATAGTGTAGGTTTGGTTCTTGCGAAGAGGTCGTTGAACTCGTCAATCTCGAACTGGGCTTCGGCAGGGCGGACATTGATCATGTTCGACCAAATGTCCTGCAGGCGGTCAATAGCTTCAGTAATGTAGCTGTTGAGTGGTTGGAGATAGAGATCATCACCACCAAACAGCTTGCCGACTGCGATCTGACCAAGCACTTTATTAACTGCACCAAGGTTCCGGTTCATCAGAGGCGACAAACCACGGTCAACCACACCCCAGTGCTGAGGTTGTAGCAAAGCAGGTTGGATATAGCTTTTCCAGACCCAGTGGCCGGTTATCTGGAGGAGCTGCTCTTGTGGTTCGTAGGGGAACTTGAGGCGAAGTTCCTCAAACATTTGTTGCGCAATGTATCGTACACCATAAGGCATGCGATGAAGGACTTCCTCGAACATTGTAAAGTACTGGTCGGCAACATCTCGAAGATCTTGGAGGTTGTGAATAAAGGTTCCACGGGTCTCTGGATCCTTCAAAGCTACATCTCGCGAGACGTTCGGGTCACGATGGCTTCGCTGCCCAGTACGGAGCTCTTCGTTGTTGATCGCTGAGCGGTAGATTTGCATGGGGTCGCTCTCTAAGTCCAGATGCTCATTCTCGATAATGTTCTCACGAATGACGGAGCCCAAAACATCCTTCAAGAATTTACGGTCGCGAGGCGATCGGACATAGTTGGCGAAGAGTTTGGCCCAGAAAAAGTTACTGCGAACGAAGTCGTGCAATGTACCACAGCTCTCAATCTCCTCTTTCAGCGATCGGGTCAAGAGTTTCAGTAGCCAGTATTCTTCCCTACGCTTCTGGGCCAGTCCAAAGAGACTCATGGTAAGCTGTTCGACGCGCTTAGTATCACCCTCGGGAAGGTTCTGTTCACGCAGGCGCCTGAAAAGCCTGGCCATGTACTGGGGTTGGGTCTGCAAAATGAAGAACAGCTCTTGGTACTGCTCAAGCTTCCGGCGGGAGTTTTTGTTCAGAGCCTTGAGATCGAAGGGGTCTTTGGACGAGATGTCTTTGCTGCTGAGAAGAGTTCCGACATTGCCTCCATAGTGTTTCTGATGCTTGACGACCTCATCCAGAGTGATCTTGTTCTTCACAAGCAGAGCAATCTTGATGTCGAGCTGATCAACATACTGCTCGGCGAGCTCGTTTTGTCGCACATGCTGGACAACCGTCTTTCGCAGACGCTCGAATTCTGATATATTGTTAGCATTTCTTCATCAGGACGTATGGACCATGTCTTACCAATTTCTTCGTCAAAGTCAATGTCATTGTCGTTGAGGAGATGCACAAAGTTCTTGACAGTCGACACTGGTGGGTTGACTCCGCTAGTCAAGCTCTTGTATGCCTCACCCTGCTGACGACCACGGATAAAGCTCTGTACTTTGATGACCTTTTCCATATTCTCCCTGTAGAATTGCTGCTTCTCTTGGAATCTTCGTCGGATCAACATGCCACGAGCTATGTTCTGCAGATCAATGATGGCTTCTTCGTGCTCTTCCGCTTGGCCAAGCTGCAGACCAATTTGCATACGCTGCAGCATGCCACGGGCTACAGCCTGAAGGTCAACAATCTCGGGTTCTTGAGCGTTGAGCTCACAAAGCGTCTCATATGTTCTTTGACGCTGCATGAAACCACGGCAGGCGGATTGCAAATCAAGAACAGCGGGTTCCTGTGCCTGGAGTTCTCCAAGGTCAGAAAAGTGTCTTTGCCGCGCAAGGAAACCACGAATATGAGACTGGAAAGACAGAACATTGCTTTCTTGGTCTTGGAATTGTGCAAGCATGTTGGCAATTTCGGAACGCATCTTTCCTGCTCGCGCCATAGATTGCAGATCGGTGATTTGAGACTCCTCTGCATGAAGGGCTTCCTGAATCTGCCTGACAGAGTTTCTCGCAACATTGGCACGAACACGAGACTGAAGACCAGACCACTCGACTTTGGTGCTTACCAGGTTCTCCTGTACTGCAGCATTCTTGTTTCTGGCGAGGAGACCTCGCATGGCAGACTGTAGGAGGGTGATTGTAGATTCCTGTTGGCGAAGGCCTTCCTGATCTGTGCGCATTGATTGGCGGAGAAGCATGGCTCGCGCAGCAGCTTGCAGCTGAGCAACTTGAGGTTCACTCTGCTGCAAGTCTGCCCACTGTTGATCGACCTTTGCTCGGACAAGGGCACCGCGAATCATAGCCTGCACGTCGACAACAATCGGCTCAGTGTTTCGGGTTCGTTCGTATCGTTCAGCGACACGCT